CGTAGCGGGAAATTCCATGGGAGTTTTACATAGAGCAGTACCGAACCTCAAATTCAGCCAAATCTTTTTGAAATAATGAACAATTGCAACGAATTATCGCCCCGAATATTCGCCGCATAGAACGAATTTTCGCTCGAAATTTCGAGTCGCATTAACGCCATTAAGGAATATGTCGCCGAAAGTTCGAGCCGTTCAAAACAATACATGCCTCGAGAATTCGCAGAAATGTCGTCGAAGTTTCGTTTCGGTCAAGAATTCGTCGAAAAGCTAAGAATTTCGTCGGACGTTGCATGTTGCATACATTAAGTGAATAATATTTCCCTCCGAGGAAATACGTGACAAGTATTCACGTAGCACATCACAAATCGTAGCAAACTAAAATCAGCTGCAGGATGGCCATCTGTAGGAAAGTGTAGTTTTCTGTGGCATCTGAAATCGCCCTTGTTGTTAAATGTTTTCGATAGAATTTACTAGAAATTGCAGAGAGCTCCATGTGTTACATGTATGATTCATGTCTAACTAATTTGTGACTAAGGGTCAACAGGCTTATTCGCTACAGGTGATAAATAAAGAATACTACAATCTGAGACATGGGCACTCGTAGATATAGATTTCCCCCTCGAGTGTTCAATTAGATAACTCACGAGTTAGCGCAGCGAACGAGTGACATCAACTAGATTACGATTACTTATTACTAACTACCTAGAAAAGCAGACATTGTTTTAAATGAATGAGACAAACTAGGATTTAAAATCCGCGACGTAAAGTGCGACGTAAGGTGCGTCGGCGATAAGGCTTAAGGTCCAAATACTTTGGTTTTTCTTAACGTAGTTTGGTTTTCTCCCGCTTCTAGGAAATTTGGATCGTCACTGTAAGTGAGCGATACGAGTTTTTTAAGTGTTTTTAGCAACCATAATCCAACCAAAATTTCGACAAACGATCTTGCATTGAGAACGATGAACGCCTTGCCATTCATTTATCAACCCGACAGAGTGGCGTGAAAGGCGAGTGACGTGTCAGGAGCTCATTGGCTCTATAAAACACGTAAAAATGGTTATGTTAAACTTGTGCAGTCACGGTTTTTTTAGAGCTGAAATTCCTTGTGTAAATAGGTTTAAGAGTTGTGCTTCGTAAATATCGCCCGGACGCATACAGTCTAAAAATCAGCAAAATCCTCAAACTTGGCCAGAGCATTGGCCTTATTAACCTATTTCCAAGAATAAATCTTTTCAGTTTGACAGTTTGATCAGAAATATGTTTCACATGAACAGGAAGAGTCCGCCAGGTAGGAGTGCGGAAGGGAAATACTGCAGGCATTGTCAAATGATGTTCAGAATCAATTCTTATGTGCTTTTCTAGGCTCTTTCTATTCTATCTGAGGCAAAAATTGAAGATGAACGCAAAAGAAACCTACTGCTGAATGAATTTTCCAAAGCTGAAGATTTTTTGAGGCAACTGAATGAGAAACGCTCACTGCCTTTGCTGCAAGTGAATATAACCACAATTTTAGAGGAGATGACGCAACATATCAGCCAACTCAGTCAGAAGGAATACTATATTCTTGTTGCAGGTGAGTGATATTGGAGAATTCACCCAAAACAACCGCCTTAGATTTATTTGCCTGGCCTCTAGGGTCTAATCGCTCAAAGGCCGATTAGCGCAAACCCAGGGTTAAATTGAATCCAGGTTTCCATATTTCTCTTTTCAAAAGTCGTTTTGGAATAATTTTACCCGTTGTTTTTAGCGCATTCAATGATCAAATTGTAGTCAAAAAGAAATAAACTGAATTTGCTCTTAAAGCTTTCAGATCTAAGATCAAATTTCTCACTAACCCTAGGTTATCTAAACCCAGCTTTGAACAACCCGGCCCGGGTTGTGAAATTCCGCGACTGACAGAGGATTGGCTAATTTAGCATAATTAACTGAGTCGATGACGTAAATTGGCCTCCTTAAAGAGTTTAAAAGCTGATGTTTCGAGCGTTACCTCTTCGTCTATCGCCCTGACGAAGGGCTAGCACCCGAAACGTCAGATTTTAAACTCTTTACGGTGGCCAATTTACGTTATCAACTCAGTTGCTATTGTAATTGTGAAGATTCTAGAGGTTGTGGCTTACTTAAATTCTCAACAACTACGAGGGTGGCGCGGTGCAAGGTGACAATAATGCAAACTCCACTTGGTAGATCTAAACAGATTTAATGACAGATCAAAGTTCAAAGGTCTAGATCAATCGGTTTGCGTTTGACATGAAGGGCGATGAAGATGGCAAAGATCAAAGATCATTGGCCTAAGAGCGGTCGCTGTAGAAAAAAAAGTAATAGCTGTAGATGCAGATCAAGTTGTAGGTTCGAACTGAAATACGATACTTAAAAATATAATCTAACTTAGGTAAGGCTAAAAAGAAATGCAAGACAATCAAGAGACTTTGAACAACAATAAACTAGCCAACTCCTAGCGTGAAATGAATAGAAGTGATAATTCTCGTGTCATATAAACTATTATTAAACGAAGGTACAACAACAGTATAGTACTGAAAAAAAAGTAGCTAAATGAGCATATAAGAATAATATTTTGAAAAGAAACAAAGACACTTTGTTAATAATAGTTTCGCTATAATACTGAAATAATAACACTTCGTTGACTAAACAAGACGTTCTATGACCGAGAAAAGGCTAATGATTCCGTGAGTTTATCAAAAACAAAGGTAAGACTTACGTACTTTGGTTGACGACTCGCGCCCACAAAAAATAGCTAATACACTTAAGACGGCGGTAGCTAGGATCCTTCTGATCAAAGCAAAGGTAGCGATGTGGCTTCAACGAACTTCTTTTTTACTAACTAACTAAAGGTGCGCGTCGCACCTTTATAGGCTATGATACGTGAAGAAGGCTAAGGCGTTGCAAATAATTTAGCCGCCAAAATAAGAACTATTTCCTGGGCAGCAAAGATTCCAAAGTTATGTACAATTCCAGGAAATCTCGATTTCTACGGACGCGTTCATTTTAGATCACGCAATTGACTACATAATAACTAAATATAAATCAAAAAGGAAGTTTGCAGGAAATGATTAAAAACAAGCAGCGTTTCAAAACAAACAAATAATACAAAATTACCCTGTTATACTCTCTCCCGGCGCAGCACCACAGTTTCTTTAGAAACTTTCCCCCTTTAACAGAGGATTGGCCCATTTCAGAGAGGTTTATAGTATTGCTTCATCTTGGTTAGCAGGAAACTAACATACCACACTTGGCGGAAGGCACCAAGGATACTAGGGCTGTCCTGTTTCTGTCCTCTTTAATGTAAAGACTTTAACAGGACATGGCCACTGTCAGCCGGAATCAGTCCAAGAGTGGTCAAAGAGAAGGGAAAAGAGAGAAATGTAGCGGTTGCAAGTAGAAAAGCTCCACTAAAAGCAAATATTCCTATCTCAGTTTTCTTTGACCACTTTCTGCCTAACTCCTATTTACTCTGATTCTCTAACTCTGATCTACTAACTGCTATTTCTATACAACGTTCTTTAGTATTAACTATCGGTACGAGTGAGTGGAGATGCCGGCAAACTGACCTTGAAGGATTTAAAAAGCATTTGTTGTAACAACAACGTACTTCATGCTTTCGGTCAAACAGGCAGTTTTAGAAACTACAGCTGGATGATAGAGAATGATTTTTATCTTGCTCTTTCAGGCGAGGCAAGTGCCGGGAAAAGCAGCCTGATAAATCTCATTCTGGGAGAGAGGCTTCTTCCATCTTCCTCACTGAGCACAACTTCCACGTTATGTGAACTGAAGTACGGCGAGGAAAGAAAAATTGTGGCGCACCTCAAAGACACAGATTCGAAAACAGGCCTAACATCGACCATGTTTCTTGAGAATCCAACAGAATCTTCAGGGAAAAGCTATCTCCAGCAGATCTCACCTTATGTCCAAGTGAAGGGTGCAGACCGCGGGAAAGGTACAATTTACAAAAAGGTTGAAATCTTCTGGCCTCATCAATTGTTGAAGGTAAGTATTCAGTAAACTGTTAAATGTCTTCTGTAAATCAAAACATTACGGAAATACTTGAAAGTATGTAATACCCTCCTTTGCCTAAGGACGTCAACTGAGCTAGCCACTAGTGTTGTCTCACAGTTCTTTCTCGTATAAAGTATTCCAGAGGTTGATATGGAAAGTTGAACCCCCGTCAGTAATCAAGATATTGGTTTCTCCAATCAGATATCATGAACATCGAGACCAAACTTAGGGGTTTTCGATTGACAACCTCGTTACATGAGATGAATTGGCATACATGAACGGGCTGACATTCACTGCAGGATTAAAACTAATAAACTCAACAAAAATTAAAATGACATGGATCCATATCCAGTCCTACTGTAAATATTAACCAGTTTGAGTGAATAAAAAATCGGTTTAATGTTCAATAGCAGTTGATAGTTTTCTAGACCTAGATTATGCCAAAAGGAGCAATTCGAACAATCTAGATGATTTTCTATTGTAGATAGTTATTTAGCGTTAACTTCTGTGTTTAGAAAGGTGTCACAATCATTGATAGTCCTGGGGTTGGAGAATCGGAAGTCATGGACGAGGTAGTGACAGAGTATCTTCCTCAAGCCTTTGGATTTATTTATGTCATCAACAGCGCAAACGCTGGAGGGGTTCAGAAAGACAGGGTAAGTAGCTAGTGCAATGTGGATAGCAGTGAAATTAAAATTTTAGAAAAGAAAAAATAGTATTGCAAAGGAGGAATCAAAGCGATGAATAAACTTTTAAACTTGACTATTTTTTAAGTACTTTGTCGCCATTTTGTGCTAATTGGCAACCCTTTGACTAATACAAAGCTTGTATATTTGCTGAGCGAACTGGGCAAGATATCGCGCGAAAGACAAGAGGAGTTTCCCTCCAAATGTGCTTTGTTTGTATGCAACAAATGGGACCAAATTCCAGAGGACGAAGCCGGCGCTGTTAAGGCACACATAGAGACCAAGTTAACAGAGTGGTGGCCTGATCTTATTCCTGAATCCCAAATCACCTACATATCAGTAAAAAATGCTCTCGATGCTCAGAGCCGTGGGAAGATTAAAGCCGACTTTATCACCCTGATAAATGGGATCCGCATTTTTGTTCTAAAATGTATCGAGCAAAGGTTGGGAATTCACTGGAGGTAATTGCATGCCTTCTTTTAATTATGGAATTGGATGTTATGGTTTTATTGTGGTTATAACTGTTAAACAAAGTCAAATGATAAAAAAAGAGACAGAAACTTTAGATTAGTAACATAAGAAGAACTTCGAATTAATTTTTTTATATCATTGTCATCCAAACTCCAACATTAATGGGCAAACTCCTTTCGCGGTGGGAGTCTTAAATCGTATATGTTAAGCAACTTAAAGGATTAAAACGAGCCAGGTCATATACAATGGGAAATGATCATTTCATTGTCTATGTAGTGATTTGCTGATTACTGTTTTGTATGTACCAGTTCTTACTAAAACTAGTTATAAAAATACAATTAGAATTACTATGCTCTTTTCATTTCCTTATTTCCTTACAGATGGCTTGATTTTGTATTTTACCAACTAATTTGTCAAACAAAGATGATTACGATGAACGCCGGTAGAGATCGTAAAAAAGTCACGAACAACATGACCACCATACTTCATCGTCTGGAAGTGCTTGAGAGACAACAAACCCAACTTATTGATAGGATTCGCATAGGTATGACAGCCCGCGCCAACGAGGTCGAAACAAAGCTCTGCGAATTTCTCAATTCAGAGGATTTGCGAAGACAATTCATCTATCAATTTTCCGGATCTGCTCCATCCATAAGTGAGCTGGACGAAGAACTGCAAGTAATTTTGCAAAAGTGGGAAGATAAAAATCATGTATTTGCAAATGCTTTTAGCTTGCCTCTTCAACGATTTTTGGAGCAACACAATTTAGCAAAAATGCAAATCCCGAATCTTCAACGTGACATCTCGGAAGTCTCAATGGCCACACCAATTTACCCACACTGCAAGTTAAGCGCTTCCGTGGTCTTCATTCTTGATCTCTTTGTTGAGAGGCTTGGAATATACGGGGGTATGTCAGAATCTTTGGTTGAACTCGATCCCATTACGGGTGTGATGAGGTTTAGTACTCCTCCTTCAAGGATGAAAGAGAGCTTTCTTCAGTGTGTTATAAATGGAGATGCAGCTAAGTCTATGGTAAATGAAATGCTCAAAAAGCACCTGAAACGTTTGGAACAAATTGGAAATCAGGTTCCACAGATGATTCAGGCCAACAAAAAGTTATGTGAAGAACTCCGTAACAACAAGCAATCACACCAAGAGATTATAGAATTGTACGAGCCAATTAAGAACAGTGCTTTTGCTATTAGAGGACACCTAACAGAATTTGGGCTGAGAGAGGCTTGTGCCCACTGCAACGAAGAGTTGCAGTGGAAGGATGATCCATCTTCCATTCTTGGGCGTGGTACGTTTGCCTCTGTGTACAAAGGAAAGATGAGAAGACGTTGATGCGAGCAAAAAGTAGCTGTGAAGGTTTGCCGCAAACCTTTAGACGTCGAGAATGCAAGTCTCATGGTTGAAGAGATGACCCTTTTGAGGTGAGATAAATTTCCCCCATTTCAGTCTCGATGTTTTTTTTTTTCTCCAATTTACAATGCCGCGTATTTGGAGCAGGGCTTGAGGAAAAATTGAGCATCAACCGTTATGCTCTTTTTTAATCCTATAATTGCGACAATTAATTGGAATCTTACGCGGCAATCACGTCATGATTTTGGAGACTTTCCAATTATTTGTAGAAATAGAAAGTTTGAATTAAAGGAATTTCGATCGGTGCTGTAACGTTAAGCCATATACCGAACTGTTATGCCAACTTTTGAAAAAAACCCTTGTTTAACATGATGCCAACAAAGCATCTTTCGCCCTGCACCATGTTCATAGGTGGCAATTTCCTTTGACAGAAAATTAGATCACCCTCATATTGTCAAGTTTTTTGGGACTGCACTCTTGAAAAAAGAGGACGTGGTAAGGGTGATCTTTGTGATGGAAAGGTGCACAGAAAGCCTCAAAGATCACATCTTCAAGCACCGAGAATCCGTCCCGGGTATATCCGGAAAAACAGCATACCTTAGAGTTTGTCGTTGGGCGAAAGAAATCACCGCTGGTCTTCACTTTATGCACGAAGTAGGCATTATCCACAGAGACCTCAAGCTAGAAAACATCTTGGTACGTACTTACAGCGTTCTTGATATTTTTACCGCATCTTGCCAGTCGTTGTAAGTCAATGGAGTTGATTAGTCAAGTATCACACTGCCTTCAGATTCTGCAACTGTTTTTCTGCTTTTTTTTTATTATTTTTTTATTTTTCAATCGTGGGCATCCAAACTTCTGGAATTTCTGCACACATCTCTAAACCAATTGAATCACAGCGGAAAATCTCGCCTCTTGGGTGACACTCAACCCGTCAAGTTCATTACCCGCATAACACTACCAGTATGTATTCAAGATACCGTGATCCACATCGTAAGTCAGCGGAAAACGACCATTCCCCGTTATTTTTATTATTATCATTAAAAAAGAAACTAAGACAGACTCGCATGATAGCAATATGGTAACAGAAAAGAGAAGATGACAAACAGTTGAGAATGGTCGTGACTGAAGTGTTAAGAAATGTGATTGTCAAACAATTTATAAGCGAGGTAGAAGCCATTTTTTCAGTATATTAAGTTTTCATCTTCGTAAAATCAAGAACAGAAACTTCTCTCTATTGCAAATGCGGGAAAACATCTAAAGATTACCAATCCAATAGTAAATATACTTCTCATTATTTTCATTTAAGCTGTCGGAGGAGGATTCCGTGAGAATAGGTGATGTCGGCGTTTCTAAGGAAGCAAGTAAAATCACCGGTACTGTTATGGGATCTTTTTTGTACATGGCTCCTGAAGTGTTCCATTCCAAACTTTATGACTACAAAGCAGACATCTACAGTTTTGGAATAATACTTTGGGAGATGTGGTTCGGACGACGAGCATTTGCCGAAGTTGATGCGCCAAATAACCAACATTTCTTCAGCTTGGTTGATGATGGGCGTCGTCCAAAAGATATTATGGAATTGAAGAAGCCACCACGCCGCTGGAAAGAACTTATGAAGAGATGCTGGGATGGAGACCCAGATAAACGTCCCACAGCTGAGAGTTGTGAGCGAGAAATAACTGAACTCTGCGATGAATGGTCTGGTCATTAGGAATAATCATATTCCAAATTATACATGAAGGCTACCGTCATTAGTTGTACATGTATTTTGTTTATACTACAAGCAAGCAGACAAGTTTGTTTAGCATTTTCATGCATCTGCTTCATCTTTTTTTAATTTCACATCAAAGACTTCGAACGACCAGGACCATTCGTATGACTAAAACACAATATTGTTACAATTTTTGGCTTGCAAATTAATTTTTGCAGTCTTATCCCCTTTACCTAAAACGCCTGCTTAACTAAGCTTAAGTTTTGTTCCTCGTCGCTGAATCGAGCAAAAAAGTCTGAGTCATGGCTGACCATTACACAAAAGTAATGGTACGGGCGGTTAGCCTTCGGTGACATGCGCCCACGTCCATGATCATGAAGAACACGATCGTCCTATAGATAAAAGGCACCATCCAAAGGAGTCACAAAGCTTCAAAATTCCCCCAAAATGCTGGATTTTACGTTTAGAAATATGCTGGAAGGAGTGCCCGGCTATAGACGTGTCGCGCGAACATTCGATAATAGAAAAATACTTAAAGTTTATTGGCTATCAAAAAAAATAGAAAATGTCTACCAAAAAGTTTATGAATAATTAGAAACTCATCGTGTACTTGTTCAATTAAAATTTTAAGTGTTTTGATCTAGTACCTTGTTCATTTAATGTTTTGAGTTTCTTTACATGGCCACAAGATTATTACGGAACATTATATCAGTCTACATTGAGCCCTTTTCAACTTTCTTTTACATGGACTTAGCAGAAGTTTTATAGAGAAAAGTTTATAGGCTTTATAAAATAAAGTTATAATATCCAAGACATGTTCCGTATACAAAAAAAGAGCTTCCTTAATGATTTTAAAAATGTTAACTGTTTTACTAAAACATCAACACATAAAGAGGCGACAAACTCAGACAGAATCACTTTTAAGAAACTGCCTGTCTCTGCTAGGTGCTCGTCTTCTGGTTGTCAGAAGAATTTATATTGATCAGCAGATTACACGAAAATGGAAATTATTTCATTTCTACAAAGTCGAAAATCTAGTCAAAGTTGTTCCCGTAACATTACCCTGTTAGAGTAGAGTGGAGTATTTTTTTTAACCTCCTCCTAGGAAGCTATCCGTAAGTTAATTACAACACTTTGCCGGGGACTTTGGCTGGACTGCGTTTAGGAGTTTGCAGTTTTTGGAAGGAAATGTTGCAAGTGCCCCCGATTTCGGAATCAGGGCCAGGCCACAACGGCGTGAGCTACGTTCTCTTCTCTTTACAAAAAGTGCGTGGGTTGTTTAACGTCCCTTGCTGATCAGTTATGGCAACTCGGGGCTGAGATGCTGTCACATGGAACCCTCCAGCATCTGAGATGGCTGCCTAAGCTGAAGTACTTTTATCATATGACCGTCCGGCACTGCGCGCATAATCCCAGGTCCGGAAAAAGCCGTCCCGGCCCTGGAGTCACACAGCTTTGCTGCAAAAACTTAAAGGAAAAATAAAAAAAAAAATAAAAAAGTCGCGTTTCTCTTTGAAGTAGATGCCTTTATAGGTCTGACTCGGGAAAACAAGGGATAAGTTTCTTTTGAAGAAATGTTTTCTTGCGGTTTTCCCGTGTGCGCCCGTCTATAGCGTCCTATTTGGGTTTAAAAAATTCGAAATCCTCAACACTTTGTGGTCATATAATAAAATGATTATTGACTGAGTTTATTTGAGCCAAAGGGGAAGATATTTGGCATTCGGTCACGGCGCACGGACGTCGCTGTGCTTGGTCCTTACGTCATGATCTCAACCCAAATATTTTCCGTCCGACCCTCCCACTCAGTCAATAAGTACATATTTTTGCATGTTGGAACTTACTGTCCCAGTGAAAAAAATATAAGCCCTTTCCCATATTTTACACTTTCCAAGCCCTCATCCAAACAGATTTAAAGGAAGAGTTGTTCAAAGCTTTGATGCCAGCCGTGCTGTGCTTCTTTATATTTTGGAAAGAGTCTCGAATTTTTGCAACGGTGGCGTAGCACTCTCTCAAGATTAGCCTGATTCGAGTACGGTCTCAAAGGCTAGGTAGTGACAGCTTAATAAACGCATTGATGTAAAAGCCTGCGTTATCAGATCGTCAGAAAGCTTTAGAAGGGTTAGGTTAATTGGAATTTCAAGCAACAAGCGCCCAGGATGGATGCCACGACAGACCACTTTTGCGTACATTTATCAAAGAAGGGGGTGTAGCTTCTTGTCTGGGAAAAGAAAGACAAGTATCCCATGAGCAACACCACCTCTAAGCTTATTGCCACTATAGAGGTAAAGCTCCAAATCATCAAACAAACTAAATGACTATTTATCAAAACCTTATGAAACTAAATTGAATATTTTTCCGTTTCATTATGCACATTGCTGAAATACTTTCACTTTTAAAATCCTGTAGAATTTTCCCGATCAAAATAAAATAGCCTAGAAGAGGGAAGACTACTTCTCGACTTATTCTAGCTAATCCCTTTTGTTCAATGTATGTTGTCACCAGATACTGACTATTGGCCATTGGTTTCTTTTATTACATGTCCTTTTAAGCAAATGAAATGTGCACTAATCATCCTGAGTCTATCGACATATCTTAAACTTTGCCCTGCAACGTTTTTAGAATTACCAATTCGTACTTAGAACTCTACCACAACTTCGTCATCCGCGTGCTTTTTGAGAGCGAGAAAAATGTGCCATGACCTGCCCTTTATCCCAAGCTATTTTCTCTGTGTTTTCCAGCAACAAGCTTAGGAGAATTTCTTGGCCCACTTCATAATTATAAGCACTTGGTTGTTGGCCAGGTTCTTAATAACAGTGCAGCGTCTTAAAGGGGTGCTCTGAGGATGAGCGCTATCCACTCGTTAATATCAGGGATTACACTATCTACATAAGAACGGCCGGCATTCAAGCATTGAACGGCTTTTCCTACCGTACAATGTGGGCAAGTTCTGCATGTGGTGCGTAAAAGTTTACCAGGAATTCAAATGTCTTGAGAAACGTCTTGATGTTGGGCGCCACTTAACCAAGCAAATTGGGGAGAAACCTTTAAAATTATGTGCTAGGTGCAGCCATTGGTGGTGCTCCGTCAACTAATTCATAATCTCTAGCAACAAAAGAATCGACTGTAACATCAGCTAAGAGTCCATCTTTGGAGGGGGTTGAGCTTTGAAGAAGTAGGATTCTATCGGATTTTGTCAACGAGTGCGGTCATTTTTACAAAATATTTTCTTTCAAGGAGACGAAATCGGTGACAAGGCAAATCCTGCTGATGTTGCATCTAAAATGAAACATCTAAGATAAGCAGATGGAGACGAATTGTTCAGCAAGGAGGAATGACTTTCAGCTGTCCAAATTGCTAGATATTTCAGCAAGCTATCAGCCCTTAATAAGGCCGATCTTCTGAATCGAGTTGTAAAGAACCTCTTTGGAGGATGAATTTACGATCAATACGTAAAAAATGCAAGCAGTGGAGACAAGATTTCAAATAAATACTCAGTTCGGTTATTCATAACGTAAGATATATACATACATTTATGAATCATTTTTTCAATAGCTTGTGTCAGCGTTACAGAACTTCTATGATAAGTGACTCCTTTGCTCGGCAGCTGTTCATCTGTTGTTTTAAGATATTAGTATCCCAAAAACCAGCGTCGGCGATCCCACTCTCAAATTGAAATTGAGTGAATGAACATCAGTTTATGACCAACAATTGCATAAATTAACGTCCGAGGTCACGTAATTCAGAGGGTCGTGATCACGAACCTTTTATGGAGGCCAAAAGTTATTTAGTACACAAACGTAGTGTTAAGATAGGTCTTTCCCTGTGATGGTATTTTTGTTGACATACAAGGCTGCCCATCGGAGATATTTGCAATTAAATAACCTTAGTTTTTTCTTTTCTGGAATAGTTTCGTGACACAGTTCATGATTCACAGCTCTTAATTGGCAGAGGTTATATCAAAGTACCCCAAATTTAAGGAATTGTTTCCTTAAGGTTCAAACAAGCATTGCACATAATAATAGTAAAATCAATGGCATTCTGTTACTGTGAGAGAAGTTCGTTGGAAGTGCATTTTTCGAGTTAATTTAGCATTTTGCCCCAGGGATTTGATGTGGGGGCTCTAATACCCCAGGGATGAGTCGGGAGCCTGAACCAGTCTGGATTCTTGAAAAACTTAGTGACCCTCATAAACTGTGAAAGTTTGAAAGAAATCGGTAAAATGACATGTGTCACGCCTGCCCGGTGCTCTCGTCGACAGACTCCTAAATGTTAAAAGCATCAGGTTCGGGGAACCTTCTTCAATTTACATTTCAAACACCTACCTTTTTGTTTTTCCCTAGAGTACTAGTCTATTTGGGGGGAAGGGTGGGGGTTGTCAAGAGCCCAGTGTCTAAAGCTCATGAGTGGGGAGAGTGGGTTTGAGTAAACGCAAATGAAACCAGCCCTGTCTTTCATGATAATTTGCAAAAGTGAGTTTCATTTTAAAGTTCCTCGCTGAAAAAGGTAAGCCTCAGAAGCGTAAAAAATTTAAAGTTTGGATCATTCAGCTAGTACATTTTTTTTATTCTATCTGTTGCTTTTTTTATACAGCGTTGTATCTTTTCGTACACTATTTTACTCAACAGAATTAACTTAGCGTCTCTAGACATCAGACTCCTTCAGAATCTCTTATCACTATTCCGTACTACATAAGAAATATGTTTGTGGTCTACACCTTATAGCTCAAGAATTAATTTAAATCAACTACTCTAAAAGCGAGAACTTCAAAGTGTGATAAACAAAGATACAAATTGCAATTGGTGTCGCTTATTCTCACTAGCTGATCGTTTTAGATAATTTAAAACTAAATTTTTCAAACTTACTCATTAGAAATTTTATTGAACTAAAGTAATTACTGAGAGCAGAAAATAGGGATAAAAAAATTATTCGCCCTAATGTGGTGGGAAGGATAAACTACCTCCTAATATTTTATAACTTTCCCAATAGCGATTGCAATAGAGTTTCCTCGGATACTAACATGCGTTAGGAAAACAAAGAGCATGTGCCACCCTTTCACCACAAGGTGACAACAAGAATTAGTTATAAAACACACATTTACTTAGCATCCTACGTATAGGATCGAAAGCTCCTGAAGTTTAATTGAATAACCTCACCACTGCATCATAAGAAACTTTCGAACTTTCGTTACAGAAAGGAAAAACCTTCTTTGTACCACAGTTTTCACTCCTGACATCCGAAACTTGAAAAGTAGGTATTGGTAAGGTTAATGGATCTGACAAGTTAGGGAAAAGTTATGAAGTAACTACTAATTTTATGGACTTGCCCAACATGGTGCGAAAAAAAGTCCCGATCACAGAAGCAATTAAAAATGGTTTAAAACACAAATGAAACCAAAAAAGGGAAAAAATTCAATGTAGAACAAAGGAAGGCCCTCTTGTTTAAAAGATTATGTCTATTATTCGATACAAAGGATAGGACTGTAACTTCCCCAGTTTATAGTTAACTTCAGGGTTTGAGGCTAACCAGTCCAATCTGAGTTGCTTTCAATGCTTTCTTGAATTTTAAGTCTATTTTTACACCGAGTTGAAGCATCTTGTTTTTTTTTCAGGATAGGCTCTATCTTTGACTAGCTAAAATTCCCATAATAGTTGACTTACAATCTGCGAGGCTTTTTCTTTCTGAGGCCGTATTTTCCCAGCAACCAGAAATGAGAGTAGCCCACCGATTTGATGTCGGAGTTGTGAGACCTCCAAGATTGGGACGATGGCCTCCTTCTACAACTGATAAAAATTCTTCCATCTTCTTACCTTTTAAATCATCAAAGGCTTCTTTGCCGTACCACATTTCCCAGAACAAGATCCCGAGGGAGTAGATCTCTGAAGAGGCATTGTAGTTTCTATTTCGCACAGCTTCTGGCGGAAGATGAAGAAATGCATCACACTTTGATCCATGCTCGATGGTCAGCTGCCTCCTGAGGGAGATGTTGCTCAGCTTAATATCACGGACATTGGGACCGTCAAGCTATGTAAAATAATACCAAAAAAATAATTTAAATTGATGATAAAAAGAAACTCAATAAATAGTGGTTTTGTCTTGGTGGACTAGCATTTTTTAAGAGTACACTGGATCTCACCTAAAGAAATAGAACAAAACTGAGTATGATTCCACTTTCTGACTAGGCAAAGGTCACTAGTTTGGTTGAAACACACTTACTTATGAACAAAGCAGTTATATCTTCATCTGCTTTTCGATGTTATGAGATAGATTTATATAACTGAATAAAGGGGGTAAGTTTCTACAGAACTGTGGCGCTGCATCAGTGGGCGAGTATAACAGGGTAGTTTGGTAATGGCAACTGAGTTCATAACGTAAATTGGCCATCGTAGGCAGTTTAATAGCTTACTTCATTAGTTGAATGAAAAGTGCTCGTTGATACCGTGGGGATTAAGGGCGCCGTTTTGAGAGATAAACTTTTCTAAAATTTTCGGCTTCCCGAATTCCCTAGATGTAAGGAAAGGCCGCAAACTGCCATATGCTGTTTAGAATGATTAGGGAGATCAAGAGTCTAGCGACTGGTTTGGATTTGCCTTGCATTTCCTTCGACGTCGCGAAGGTGTTCTCGGAATCCATCACCTAGTCGTCTTCCCCTTTCACCAATGTATGGCTTTTTGCAATAAGAGCAAGTTATGCAATAGATGATAGTAGCGTAGATGCACATGAAATGATCACTTCGCAGTTATTATTGATTTAGCTTTTCAAAAGTGTGAGGGTCTAATTGCAAGCTATTTGGCCTGGCTTAGTCGAGATCAAAATGTCCTAAAAGACAGCCCATAAAACTAAGTTTGAAAACAGTGACGCGGAAGTCCTTGAACGAGAAAAGCTCCGTGCATACGGGAGAGAGAAATAATCCAACCCTTTATTTTACTGCGAGTCATAGACTTTGGAAGTCTTATGACAGTTATATTTGTGTCCGCGCTCTGATAGTTTTTAAATTTACTATTTTTTTCTTTGAGTGTGAAACCAATGTAAAACAAAACTTTTTATTAAAAAATGAAATATTTCCCAACCAAAACGTTTTCTAACCGAAGGTCACCGTGAACACATCCGTCAAACATGCTGTAAATCGACATAAGTGCTTCGACGACTTGGTCTGCCCAGCGAATCACATCCATCGTTGCCACGGGATTCTTCGCAGGACAATTTCTGGGTTGATCGATCAGATGTTTCTTTAAATCAACTCCTGGACACTCAGCTACAAAGGCTGCTTCTAAACCTCTTGGAACCTTTCTAAAAACAGCACCGTAAAACTGGACAATGTGAGGATGGCGAAGCCTCCTGTGGAGTAAACAACAAACATAAGAAATATGTGAACAACTTTCAACTTTGGACGTGGTAGGAGTGACAACAAAATGAGCAGTGAAAGTAGGAAAATATTTTCTGAAAAATTGTGAACATATGAAAATCATACATGTAAACTGCTGTTCAGGAAATAAATATGAAAGCGATCTTCGCAGTAATGAACACTACTCAAGCAGTAGTGAAAATAAGGCCTGAAAACATTAAGGCCTGTACAGGATTTGGACCCATGACCTCTGCGATGGCGGTTTATTACGAATCAACACAATGACCAGCTCTCTGTTGGCTTGTTAGCTTGGCTGGTAGGGCACTGCACCGGTAAAAATTAATTCTAGACTAAATCGAACAGAACTGTACGTTAAACGAGGAATGCCCGTACAAGTGTCATGTTTCAGGGAAAATACCTCAACACATTTATTAAAGTGACTTGGGTATTTTAGGGAGAATACCGAAGTGTTACTAGCATAACGCGTGTTCTGAATCCTAAAAAAAACAAGTTTGTTTTGTTAGTTGAGTGTTTGATTAAAAATTGTTTGTTTATTAGTTAAGTTGTACCTCAAGATTGCTTCGTCTGCCAAGCACTCAATGATATTGCTGCTGGTAAGCAGGTCTCTGTACACTTTAAAGGTTACTTGGCTACTTGATGAGTACCTGCCCTTGGAAATGCGCCCTTGGTAGAGCCCAGGTTCCATTGGTCGCTTCAAGTAGACATCCTCGCTGACATCCCAAGAAAGGTCATCCCAGGAGAGCCGCATGCACCAGATTTCCATAGAACCAAACAACGCGAGCTCACCGCGCAAACGGCTGCATTTGTCTCTACAGGGCTTGTAGCGAGCTTCAGAATCCTTCTTGCTATGTGCCTCCTCCATAAGTTGCTGACAAAGTTTTACATCGGCCTCAACAAGCATGGGGATTCTCGCTTGCAGGTCATTCAGGGTGTTTACAGCTAGCTCCAATTGCCCTTCGACCAGTGGCTTTAGTGCCTCGAAGGTTGCAGCCTTCCCTAAAAACTTTTGTGCCATGATTCGCACGTACTCAGCGCGATCTTTATTGTATGCACTCTGCCTTTTTCTTTCTTTGATGCTGTCGGCAATAGATTTAATTCCCACCATTGGAAGAAGAAGCAGTGTTACTGGAACAGCAAACGCAGCTCCAAAAAGAAGAGGTGGAACCATGAAAGGAACCGCTACTCCAAGAAAAAGTTTACTTTCAAATGGAAGCGAAAAGTTGTACTTGCTGTTAAAAACGTGATCCTCTACACTTTCGCCTGCCGTTTCTTCTTCAACAAGTACTTGTATTTGTGAAACATTGACTTCCACGTTGCGAAGCTCCCTCTCCAGATAATTGTATTTTTCGAGGAACTCTTGGATGACTGATTTCCGTGCCTTTGCAAACATTTTCTTCTCTTCCTCCCATTCTTCAATAAATATCTGTAATCTTCTTTGAAGAAGGTTAACAAGGGCAGCCTGAGTAACTTCCCATGACTTCTCGACAGCTGGAAGCTCGTCAGAGTTCCACTTGCAAAAATCTCTCTTTCACTTGGGAAGTCTGAAGGTAGTCGATTAAGGTTTTGATGGCCTCACAAGTGCTTGTTTCAAGAAATCGCGTCATTGCCTCCTTCGATGACTCCTGTTCCGCTTGAAGTTTCTTCAGCCTCTCTATCACAGCATTTAATCTATCTTTTGCAGCCACATGGTCAGTGGAGATATTTGTTATTAATGTACTCATCAGCCAGATTATTCGAGACAGCAAAAGATCTAGCCAGCTGTACAAATTAAGGAAGAATCAAATATAGTTACCAGTTGAACGTACAAGGAAGATGGATGTTTTTTAATTCTGTACCACAGGTACACATTTTTTCCCGATTTCTCTGAGAAAAATTTGGAAAGGCCCCTGGTTTTTTAAGGTAGCCGTCCATGCATCTATTCCTCATATATTTGCAAGAGATGGGTGGAGAGTAGCTGCTCTAGTAGAGAGGCATAACGTCATGAAAGGAATGTTGCAATATTCTATCATTTTCGCATTTTTGTTGTATGGAAATTCAGAGGGGTAGGTCTCTATCTATCCCTCAGTTACTGCCCCTTGGATTTGACTTCTTTCGCCTTAAACTTCTTTGGCTTGAACTGCCACAAGTGACGCAGCAGGCCCGTTGAGAGGAGTGTTTAAGCAATCAGGAAGAAGTGTAGACTTGTAAAATTACTTTCGTGTATAGCAGTGATTTTTTTGAAAAGAAAGAAATGTTGATGACAGGCCATGACTGAACGAGGTGGTTTTTGCCTAATAAATAATAGCTTCATGATAAACGTACATTTAGAAATGATCTAAACTACCTCCAATGTTGTTCAAGTCTTGTTTCGATGCTTTTCGAAACCAAACAGCCAATCTTGTCTGTAAGTGAGGCAAATTCTGAATTCATGACTCCATACTTCTGGGCCACAAGAGCTTTAGTAGTTGAAATGCGGATAATTTGAGTATTTGTGTCGACATCTGGCAAACACTGACTCAACTTGTTGATTATGTGCGCTATGACCACATCTCCCTCTGAGGTTGGTATGGTGTCCCACTTATTGCAAACGAACAAAGTGCAGTTTGGTGAGAATTCCATTTGCTGTTCATTTGTGAGTTCCCTCGTTTTGTGCAGAAGTCGAACAAGCTAACAAATGAGGAAACAAGCTGTATAGATTGATTCAATCAACACATAGAGCTTTAATGAGATAGCTTTTTGAGCTCTTTGAGCTATCTACAAAAATCATGGTTTAAAAAATAGATCGAGCACTGGTGAGGAGTTGAAAGGATTTGGCTCTACTACAGAAAGTATCAATAATTACCCACCCGATCTCTTTGAACTCCTCCGGCATTGCTACTGTTGATGACATAGATGAAAGCAAAGGCATTTGGCAAGTAGTTCACAACAATTTCGTCCATAATGTCAGACTCCCCGACGCCAGGGCTGTCAACGATTACAACACCGTCCTAGTGTGGAAACAGAGTAAGTAAGTTTATTTTCTCCATGTAATTCTTCTCACCATTTGGCGTTAAAGCTCCAAAAAAGTTCCTGAAATTTAGGTGTCACCTTACATCATATTTATAAAAGTATGGTTTGAAGCACGATCGTCGGATTCTCTAACCTGTAATAATCTGTGAGGCCAAAACAGTTCCACCTTTTTGTAACTTGATGCCTTTTCTCTCAAACTTGCAGACTTGACGTGAACAAATTCTGATATTTGATCTATGTAAGGCGAGGATTCTGTAAGATACTTTGTCTCCGAAGCCTTTCCTTCTTCCTTATAGTGTATCTTTATCCTTTTCTCTCTTCCATATTTCAATTCACATATTGTAGATGTTGTACTAAGAACTGAAAATGGTAAAAGCTCTTCACCAAGAATTAGGTTCAACATGCTGCTTTTGCCTGCACTGGTCTCCCCTAAGCGTAAGTAAAATGCAAAATGTTCATTACTCAAATCTTAAATCTCAAGTTCTTCCTTAAACAATCAATATTAGTTTGAAATTTTTACCATAAGTAAAGTACAATTGTCATAAAGTGTTCCGCCCACATACTCGAGTTCGAGTTATTCGACGTAATCTTTCCGGTTTTAAAGGTCAGAGCCTCACAAGTCGCCACATAAATAGACTCTCCGGCATAAGAATTCGATAAACCCTAATTGACAGTTTTATTAAAACAAATTATTAAAAAAAAAACTGAGAAACATCCTGGCCAAGTAGATTTTTGATACTCCTTTCTGTCACTGTTACACCCGTTGTTTCTCTGCATGATCATGATCAAAGCACCTCGGTAGTTTGGGTTACGCATTATATTCAAGATATTCACCTGCTACAAGAACAACATAATCTCTGTCTTCCATTCTTTTTATTCTTGTCTTGATTTTATAAAGGACGTCGCCCTCGCTTGTTTTCAGCAAATCGAGGAAGGTAGCGTCAAGACCCTGTATTTCCCTCTCCACCTCGGCGTAATGATCAAGAAGGATTAATGACTTTTTTTTGTCCATTGATTGTGCCTCTGAAATCACCTTAAAGGCCTGAAACACGGGTAAATATCGAATGGGTTAAAGAAGCAAATGAGTATATATAGACTAATTGTTATATTTTTTGGCTAGAAGAGAAAAAAGCTAATATTACCGCTTATTCCTATTCGCAACTTAAAATCGACAAATGTATGGGTGTGCAGCTCGAACCGAGTCTTTACTGCCGTCCGTGTGAGTACAGAAATACAAGCTCAAGTAAGTAGCTGTATTTAACAAGGGGAATCGAAGCATAGTTTACAACACTTGGACAAGGCAAACAAACACCCGCCTATTACGAAAACCCAAAAAACCCACAGGTAAAGTAGGAAGGTATTTCCCAACCAAATGCAGTTGCGCCGACCTTCGGTTAAAGATTAAGTACAGATCACTAACTATGATATGATAAGATATACTAACTATGCACGCATAATTTAGAGTATAAAAACTTTAACGAGATGCTTGAACGTCCATGTACCAAGAACTCACCTGTTTTAATTAAAACTGAAAGTTCGAGAGCTGAGATGCGTAAATTATTACCGTCAGACCTCACATCCACTATAACAAAAGAGCTTGTTCGTGCCTGGAGGAAATTATTTCCATTACATTTCCTCTATATGCTACCTACAGCTTAGTTCCGCCGAATGTCAATACATTTCCTCAAGGCCACCAATTTTTTTTTTCAAGAAGAAAGGAGATAGGAACAAAGAAAAATGTCAAATAGGGTTTATTGTTAGTCTAATTCTCAAGTAACCTCGCAAGAATGGCAGACACTGTTAGATGAATTACAATTGAATTTTGAGGTTGAAAGGACTAAGATAACTACTGCATTTTGTGATCGAGACCTGACTGTCTGCCTGCTGTTGTGAATTCACAGATCAGAACAAAATATATAGCTGAGCCCCAAATCTAACTAATTTCCATTTCATTCGGTGAGCTGTCAGCCAAATGACTATGAGGTCTTTTGCCACATGATACTGTCATGATATTGCCACGATTACTCATGTGGCTGGCGTGATAGCTTCACTGTAATTGGTACTTTTTCAACCGACTGCTGACAAAGAAAGAGTACTAACGCTCTCGATTATTCGTGACAGAGAGTTTAAAATCTTCAAGCATGAAGTTCTTAAAGGCAGAAGCCCGACTACGTTGGCAGTAAGGCTATGGCAGCAACGGCAAGCGGCCGAACCATTGAGCCACGACACGAAATAAAAACAACAAAGACAATAATGGTCTTTAGGTGTCTCTGAGTAAAAAAGTTCGAAGCTAGTATGAGACAATAACTTGATAAAGCTCAGAATTAACATATATTGTACAAATTTACGAGCGAGCGAGCGATCCGCAACCGTTTTGCTGTATTAGTTTGGGTCGTTTGATGCACTGATCGGTAACCGAACAGATATGAAATTATAGAACTTAATTTAAGGATCAAGTTGCGTTTCTATGTTTCTTTGAAATCTTTGCAGTAGCGTTAATCGCGTAAGAAAAGTAAAAATCTGTTACTTCAAGACGTTTTACAAAGTAACTATACATGATATATGAAACCCTCGTAGATTCTGAGCCATTCGTTTTACGATGCCACGTCGATAAGCTACAGCGATGTGATGATAATAAGTACGGAACATTCATCGACTCGCTTTCGAGATGCGCAGATCAAAGGAACAGCAATAAAGGATACTTGCTGCCAAGTACAAGTTTGTTAAAGCAGCAATGTTTCCCCAGCTCATCACTTGCAACCAGGCTGCGCAAAAGAACCTAATGCAACGGTAAGATAAGGTATAAATGTAAAGTGGATAGACAATGGATATGACTGCTAGCTCACCCATACATTCACATCAACTGCAATGAGCTAACAACGACGCTTTAGCTATAAAATTATGCCGGAAATGTCTAAATTAAACCATTACAAAAAACCCTTAAACCCAGTGAATCCACGTTCATTTTTTAAAAACTGAATTATTTTCCTGGCAATCCTACCTCATTACAGGCCAAGCGGTTATCTTTTCGAGAGCTTAGATGAGCGAGAATCCTCTCCTTCATGTTTCTCGATTTTTTTGCATCCTTTGGTTTGAATGCTCAAATTCTGCATTAAATCGATAACCTCGGCGATGTCATCTGCCTCATCCAATTTTTGTCTGATGGCTTCCATTTTTTTAATCCTAAAAGAAACTGTGGAAAATTGAATACAGGGCGCCCAGTAGCGAAGGAATTTTCAATTTTTGGGATTATTTTGCAAGGCCTACATTCCCAGAATCATCATGTGACGACTTACGGTAATCAAAGTTTTATATCATGTTTACGTTTAATGCAAAACGCTTTTTGAAGCAGCAAGGTCGCTCTAGAACCTGATAACATAGATATTTGGAGCGAAAATACTAGCGTTATCAACCGCTTTGCTCTTCTAAGTTACCAATCCCTGGCTGATTTTAAGTATAATAAAAGTCTAATCAGCCTCTAAAAGACCTAAAACCTTGACATAAACATGTGTTCTTTCTCTATTTACAGAAATCAAACATTTTGTAGTTACTAAGCGTGAGTCAACCGTGAATCCCTTGTTTACAATGATATTAGTTTCTAGGAAATCGTCTCTGATTGCTATTGGTGTAGCAGACTTTATCATTTCATTGGCTGGCAGCTCGTGGCGATGACAGACATTTGGTTCAACCGTGACATGCAAGTAGTCAATGATCTGATTTTCGCTCTTGCATTACAGATGGAAGTGGAGTCACATCGTACCAATCAATTTACCAGCGTTTTTAAATATTGATACATATTGGAATACAACTATTTGCAAAGAAACCACAAATGACAGCGATCAAAAAGAGACTTGCAAATCCATTCTACCTTGCTGTGCCTGTGACAACTGTGTAATGACAGGAACTTTACTCTCAGAAAAACCATCACAGTTTTCTCAGAATTAGTAACATATATAATGCAAGGAGCAATTGATTATCTTTGCATCTAAAAATTTTTCCATTGAAACCCAAACTAAAACAATTTGAGATACAGTTTAGTCGAGTTAACTACTCAACATGTGGAAATCACGCTAATTAGACGACTGTAGCCTGATGATTCATGCTAACAATTGATTTATTTGAACGAGCGTTACGCGGTATGCGTATTATGCTCTTTGCAGAGTGAATTGATCCCTATTGTAATTATTTCATAAATGGATCGTACAGGCACATTTTAAACATTTTGAAGAAGCTTGAGAGGGACTCGCCGTTGAAGTTACCCTCCATCGATAATTTCAAAGTACCAACCGTCTGGGCAGAGTATTAAAATCTATCAACAGATCAAGGGCTCTTGTATAGGAGAAAATCTAGTTGTGTTTTTACCTTCCGAGTTTTGTGGCCATGAAAATGATTTTTCAGGGGTACAACGACTTTGAAAAACCCGTCAAGCACCTCCATAGGCTGGTAAATGGATAACTAGGATTTGAGGAATGCAACATCACAAGTGGTTTTGAGAGAAGTAACCTTACACTGGGTATTATCTGACGCCATTTCAAAAAAAAAAATACTTACTGTTAACGTGACTTCTTGAGAATTTTTTTAAAAGTGCATGATGTCTACGGAGCTGGAGAAAGTGGATACCATAGGCGATATAACTTAAGCTTGCGAATTCATTAAATATTTGGGTCCTTCAATGAAAGGCTTAAATTCACTAGATGAAGAACAAACTTCGTGAACGTTTAAAACGGTTGGGAGGGACTTCGTCCCGAAGTATTGAGGAGGTTTGTAATCACAGTAGCACTTTTTCAGTTCAGACATAACAGATTTCGTGCAGAATATGGTAAATTATCCGACTATATGTAATTCATTCTCTTCCTGAGAAGGTTCTCCTCTAGGTTAATATGTCAGTTCGAATTGTCAAGAACTGAAACGGTTCTATTCCGCTCATGACAAAGGGGCGACGAAGAGACAATTTGTGATACAATTTAGCCAAACGATACGAGAACACGGTCTCAAGTTCTCCCCATAACATACTTCACAAGCTTTTTCCGAAGACATCTGATTTAAAATTGATGCCTATGGTTTGAAAGCCGAAACAGTGCAAAAATACAAATTTTAAAGAATTATCTATCAGAGGGAAGAAACATTTAGAACAAAAAACGGCTGAAATCATGAATTCGTCTCTGGCTGTCGAAAAAATTGACTCAATTTTTGGCTTCAGTCTCCTTTACAGAGAATCATTTCATTTGAGAAAGTTTTCTTTTTTAAATAGTTACTTGACACAGTTAATGGTCAACTGCTCTTAATTGGAAGAAGCTATAGTAAATTACCCAGACTCTAAGAAATTGTTTCCTTAAGGTTGAAATAACATTGGACAAAATAAGAGTAAAATCCTCGGCATTCTGTTGCTGTAAGAGTAATTAGTTGCAAGCGCATTTTTCGAGCCAATTTAAGCCTTTTACCCCATTGATTTCATATGGATTCTTGAATAAACTGTGATCCTCGTAAACTGTGAAAGTTTGAAAGAAATCGGGGACCCGAAATCGGTGAGATGGCATGTGTTACGCCTACCTGGTCCTCTCGTGGACAGACTCTTGAATCTGAAAGCATCGGGTTCGGGGGAGCTTGTTCAATTTACATTGCAAACACCTACCCTCTAGGTTTTCCCTAGAGGACTAATCCATTTAAGGGGGGAGGGGGGGTTGCTAAGAGCCCTGTGTCTTAAACTAATGTGTGGTGAGAGTAAGTTGGTTAGTTGTGCTATGGTTTTCTTTTCTCGTAAAACCGGCAGGGGTCCTTACATTTTACGTTTTCGTATGATTTAAAGTGTTATTCCCTGGTGTAAGTCAGTCTGAGGGCTACACGTGGTCTCTGTGGCTGGAAATTATTAGGGGAAAACACTCAAGAAATGTGTTGTATACTAAGGTTCGATGTACTACCATAGAGTAATGCGTGAATCAGGCCATGTGCTCTACACAACTGCTTTATTACGATACGATAAATTAATTGCCTAAAATGATATAAGCATAATCACTTGACTGCGGTCAAGGGTGTGCTAACCAATAGAATACAGTTGAATTATCTATCCAGATAGGAAAAACAGACAAAAAGACTTTGAGTTTGCAAAGAAAACGGAAAAAGAAACCACCCGTGTCCTTTATGATAATCTGCAAAAATAGGTTTCATTTTAAAGTTCATTGCTGAAAAAGTTAGCCTCAAAAACGTAAACAATGTAAAGTTTAGTCCATCCAGTGACGTTAGTTTTGAAACATCCCTCATACTAATTTCTACAAACTCTCCTTTTTACTATGTAGTCAGTTACGTGATCTAAATTGAAGGCATCGGTAGAAATCGAGATTTCCTGGAATTGTATCATAACTTGGAACCTTTGCTGCCCAGGAAATAGTTCTTAATGTAGACGCTACTTTTTACAACGCCTTAGCTTTCTTCACTTATCATAGCCTATAATTCGACCGTAAGTATAAAAGAAGGTAGTTGAAGCCACACCGCTACCTTTGCTACGAGCCTGTCCTATTGTGGAAACAGAGTAATCAGGTTCTTTTCTCCCTGTGCTTCTTTTGACCGTTCGGCGTTAAAACCTGGAATAGGGTCCTGAAATTTAGTTGCCAAATCTCGGAGTTTTTCCTTTTTCTTTATAGTGTATCTTTATCCTTTTCTCTCTTCCAGATTTCAATTCACAAATTGTAAATGTTGTACTTACAACCGAAAACGGCAAACAAGAACAAGGTAATCTCTGTCTCATATTCTTTTTATTCTTGTCTTGATTTTAGAGAGGACGTCGCCCTTGCTTGTTTTCAGCTAATCAACAAAGGTAGCGTCAAGACCCTGTATTTCCCTCTCCACCTCAGCGTACTAATCAGGAAGGGCTGATTACTTTTCCATGTTCATTATGCCTCTGAAATCACCTTAAAGGCCTGAAACATGTGTAAATATTTAATGGATTAAAAGAGCAAATTAGTATATTTAGACTTATTGTTACATTTAGGCAAGAAGAGGAAAGAGCTAATATCTCCGCTGGGCAATTTACACTTAATTCAAGAAAGTTGTTTTTTTGCTTGTTAAAAATGCAGTGCCGAGTGTAAGTTGGTAGGATATCAGTTACATTCTATATTCCTATTTGCACCTGAAAAACGAAAAATTAATGGATTTGCAGCTCGAACTGAACGTTTACTGCCGTCCGTGTCAGTGCAGAAATACAAGCTCAAGTAAGCAGCTGTATATAACAAGGGCGATCGAAGCATAGTTTACAACAGTTAGACAAGGCAAACGAGCACCTGCCTAATACGATAAACCCAAAAAAAGCCACAGGGAAAATAAGAACGTATTTCCTGACCAAATGCAGCTGCGCCGACCTTCGGTTAAAGATTGAGTGCTGTTCACCACATATACTAACTATGCTTTCATAATTCAGAGTATAAAAACGTTAACGAGATGCTTGAACGTCCATCAAGCAAGAACTCACCTGATGTTCAGTGGCTAAGATGCATAAATTATTACTTTCAGACCTCACATACACTACAACAAGAGAGTTTGTTTGTGTCAGGAGGAAATTATTTTCATTTTCTGTCACTGCCACCTTCAGCTTAGTTCCACTGAATAACATGACATTTCCTCAACGCCACCTATTTTCTTTTTCTGGATATATCGGTAATATCGTTTTCAAGTAGAAAAGAAAAATGTCAAATAGGGTTTCAGTATTGTTAGTTTAATTCTCAAGTAACCTTGCAAGAAACAAATGGAAGACACCGTGAGTCAGATGAATTACAATTAAATTTTGAGGTTGCATGAAAGGAGTGAGGTAATTACTTCATTTTGTGTTCGAGATCTGTCTGTCTGCCTGCTGTTGTGAATTCACTGATCGGAAAAAAATATAAAGCTGAGCCTAGCTAATTTCAATTTCACTCTGTGAGCTTTCAGCCAAATGACTATGAGGTCTTTTGCCTCATGATGCTGTTATGATATTACCAGAGTTAATCATATTTTTCGTATGGCGAGCTTGATAGTTTTCGTTTAATTGTTACTGCTTTCGACCGATAACTGACCGAGAAAGAGTGCAAACGCTCGATTACTCGTAACAGTGAGTTTAAAAGCTAAAAGCAAGTTCTTTAAGGCAGAAGCCCGACTACTTTGGCGGCAAGGCCATTGCAGCAATGGCAAGCGGCCGAACCATCGAGCCATGACATGAAACAAAAACAACAAAGAGAATAGTGGTCTTTAGATGTTTCAGAGTAAAAAGTTCAGAGCCAGTTTGAGGCTCAGAATTAATATATATTGTGCAAATTTACAAGCGAGCGATCTGCAGCTATTCTTCTGTATTATGTTGGGTCGATTGATCCACTGATCAGTACCCGAACAGACATGAAATTATAGAGTTGAATTTAAGGATCAATTTGCGTTTCTTTGTTTCTTTGAATTCTTTGCAGTAGTTTTAATCGCGCAAGAAAAATAAAACTCTGTCACCGCAAGATGTCTTAGAAAGTAACTATACATGATACATGAAACCCTCATAGATTCTGAGCCATTCGTTTAACGACGCTACGTCGATAAGCTACAGCGATGTGATGATAAGTTTAGTATAAACATTCATCGAATCGCTTTCGAAAGGCACATATGAAAGGAATAGCATTAAAGGATACTTGCAGCCAAGTTTAAGTTTGTAAAATTAAATAATTGCCCTGACAGTCTTACCTCATTTTGAGAGCTCAGATGAGTGAGCATCCTTTCTTTCATGTCCTCGATGTTTTTCCATCCTTTATTAAATTGGAATGCTCAAATTCTGCATTGAATCGATAACCTCGGCGATGTCATCTGCCTTATTCAATTTTTGTCTGATGGCTTCCATTTTTTTAATTTAGAAAATTGAACAGACAGCGCCCAGTAGAGAATGAATCTTCAACTTTTGGGATTGTTTGCAAGACCTACTTTCCTAGAATTATCACGCGTTGACTTACGGTAACCAAGGTTTCATGTCATGTTTAATTTTACGTTTAGCGACCTTTGAAGCAGCGAATTCGTTCTAGAACCTGATAAAATAGAAATTTTTAGGCGAAAGTACTAGGGTTATTAACCGCTTTGCTCCTCTGAGTTACCAATCACCGGCTGACTTTAAGTATAATCAAAGTCTAATCGTGTTGCTACATCGGCCTCTAACAGAACTATACCTCGACAAAAACAGATGTTCTTTCTCTGTTTACAGAAATCAAACATTCCAAAGCTATTTAGCGTAAATCAACCATGAGTCCATTGTTGAAAACCGCACACGTTCGAAAGTTATTAGAATTTTCTTATAAACATGGACGGAAAAGCGAAGAGAGATAACATTTTTACGACGATTAATGATTGCTATTAGTGTCGCAGATTTTATCATTTCATCGGCTGGCAGATTGTGGTGATGACAGCCATGTCGTTCAACCGTGACATACAAACAATCTTTACTCGTCTTGAACGCAAGAATTATCTGTTTTTTGCTCTTGCATTACAGATTGAAGTGGAGTTACATCGTGCCAATCAATTTATCAGCGTTTTGAAATACTGATACATAATGGAATACAACTGCTTAAAAAGACCACAAATGAGAGAGATTAGATAGAGACTTATAAAGCCCGTTTACACTTCTGTGCTTGTGACAAATGTGTCATGACAGGGACTTCCCTTTGTTCCCAGAAAAACCATCACAGTTTTCTCAGAATTATGTCTATGTGAAATCTGTTATTTTTTATTTCTTTAGGCAAGGAGCAATGATCTTTGTATTTAAACCTTTTCCATAACCTCCAAGAGTAAAATAATGTGAGATACAGTTTAGTCGAGTTAACTGTTTAATACATGGAAATGACGCTTACATGAAGGCTGCAGACTGATGATTCATGCTAACAATTGATTCTTTTGAACGACCGTGACGCGGTATGCGTATTATGTTCTTTGCAGACTGAATTGCTGCCTTTTGTACTTATTTCGTAAACGCATCGCACAGGCACTTTTTAAGCGTCTAATGGGATACTCAAGATAGATTCACCGTTGAATTTCAGAGCGCCAACTGTCTGAGAAGAGTATTATTGTCTGTTAACAGATGAAGTGATCTTGTACAGTTTTGTGGCCATGAAAAGGATTTTTTAGTGCACAGCGACTTTAAATCACTCGTTGAGCACCTCTATAGGCTGGTAAATGGATAACTAGGATTTAAGGAATGCAACATTACGAGTGGTTTTTAAAAGAAGTAACTTGCATTGGGAATTATCTAACGCCATTTGAAAAAATACGCTACTGTTGACGTGACTTCTCGAGAATTTTGTCAAAAACGCATGATGTCTACGGGGCTGGAGAAAGTGGATGCCATAGAAGATATATTAAAAGCTGGCGACTTAATGAAATCTTTCGGTCTTTCGACAACAGGCTTACGTTCAATAGATGAGATGAAGAGCAAACTTCGTGAGCATTTAAAAGAGTTGGAAGAGACTTCGTCGCGAAAGATTGGAGAGGTATGTGATCACAATGACACTTTTTAGTACAGACATCACAGATATTTGTGCAGAATATGGTAAATTATCCGACTATATGTAAATCTAAGCTGTCGGAGTACACGTTGTTTCGCTTGTTTTGCTGCTTTAAAGCAAATCTATCCATTTTTATTCTTGCGTAATATTATGAATGGTTTAAGACCATAATGAGGTAAAATTCAATTTTAAAATATCAACACTGACCACAACTCACGGAAGTCTTAACGGAAAACCGTAGCTTCTGCAAGGAATCATTACAATCATTCACCAATAATTATAATTCGAAATTATATTTAGCTTTGTACTCCTTGAAGTCTTTGTGAACTGCTAGATAGCGAGATAAATTCATAAAACATTGCCATGAAATGCGTGATCAAGAATGAGGCAACGCAGGAATCTATCGATACCGCTATACATAGTGCATGTTGCGTTTGGTTCTCCTAACTGTAGATCGATAGCTTTATTTTCATTTTTATTCAACAATTAAAACCTATTGGCTTGTAACAATAGTACCGATTTCAGTCCTTTTTTAAAGCTCCGAGGTCTTCGTATCCTCGATCGAAAAGAATTTTCATCAACTGCAAAATTTGCTGATCGAAAAGGGCATCCCCTCTCCCCTTAAGAGTTTTGTCCATAAATAATAATTTTTTTTCAAACTTATCACCGTGGATTGAGAACGTGGTCGAAGTAATATTTTCACCCGGAATTTATACAGACTGCACAATCGTTTTATTTATGCATTCCATAGAACATTTAGAAGAATCGCTTGCGAGTTAAGGGGGCCTGGTGCTTACTCGCAGAGAGGTAGCCCGGCTAGTTCAATACATAAAGAGTGACTTCTGTTTAAGTCGTTAAACATCAGCTAAGTATATGCAATAGGTTTCTCGAAAAAAAAACCTCATCAAACATGCCATATTTAGCGCTGATTTACAACACTGAAACTCTCGAGGTGTTCAAAATTAGCAGTGTTATTAGTCGTGAACCCAGGCGGCCTCCTATGGGAAAAAATAGTTTAGCAGCGTTATTTGTGTTCACTTGGATCAAATGTGTTAAGTGCTAACTAACTTTAACAATTTTGATTAAGATCTTTTTACTTGCAGACACACGTAGTTATCTCCGATGCTGGTAAATCGGATGCTGACAAACGCAGAAAGTTACTCGATCTTTACAGAAGAACTGAGCAGTTTATGGGTCAGTTTGAGGAGGATTTTTTGGAAATATTTCAAAAAAGCTTCGAAGACCTAAACAAATCTTTGCAAGAGAGAAAGCAGAATGTTGAACCAAGTGATCAGTATGTTGTTCTTGTTGCAGGTATGTTTTGCTGTCATCAGTAAAAGAGACATCAGTTTCGTCATGATTATAACTACTTTGTTCGCTTAGACTTGGGATGCAGTCGCAATCGTTATGGACGAGCTATCATCTCGAGAAGCTACGAAAAAACGCCATCAGCATCTTAATTCACTTTCCTTTGCATTACTGTCATCGTTAACAGACAATAATATTTATTCTAAATTGTTATATATTTCTCTGCAAGAGAGGGCAATATCCAGAAATTTCAAAGGTAGTTAGGCTTTTGTTTTGTTTGTTATCATGCTCTCGTACTTAGTCTCTAATTTGATAAGCCAGTTCAAGATGACTTAAATCTTGCTCATTGGTAGTGTTTTTTATCTTGCTTTGACGCTTTCAGGCTTCGATTATGGTTAGTCATTGTCTTCTATTTTATAATTCCTCTCTTGATTAGGTGAGACTAGCGCTGGAAAAAGCAGTGTCATTAATCTCATCTTGGGAGAAGACCTTCTTCCCTCTAAAACATTGAGTACCACGTCCACAATTTGCGAGCTGAAATATGGAGAAAAGCCGATGGTTGGTGTACACTACAAGCCTACTGGAACAAAAATTCCTGAACCAGCATTCCACGAGTTGAATGATGGAAGGAAAACCTTCAAAGAACAAATAGAAAAGTTTGTGTATGCCAAAGAAGATCGAGAGAAAGCACCTTACGAGAAAATTGAACTGTTTTTTCCGCACCCTTTGTTTAAGGTACTAACGAAGTTGATAGACTAAGCAAAAAAGTCATGACAAAATTTCGGTATTAAAAAATTCAGGACCAAAAAGTAAACCTCTGCAGGTAGCTGTATGGAATTAACTATAAAGTTAGATTATGGAGATTGAAATTGCTTATTTCTGCAAAAAAATTAGCGGTGTGTGAGGTGAAAGTAATTCCAGTGAAACGGACTAATGAATGCTTGTTCCAAATTCCATGGCTTTTTCGGTTACTATGCATGAAGATAAAGGTGCGAGAATCTTAGTAAGGTAGTGGCTTACCATGACGAAATTTTGAAAAAAAAAACTTTTGAGAAATGCTGTTCATGTTAAATAATATTTCAATGAACTCATCTACAATAATAACCCATATAAAAAATTATAGGGCAGCGAATCTTATTACAGATTAATGTTTCAATTTCAGGAAAATGTAATGATCGTTGACAGCCCTGGTGTAGGAGAAAGCGATGTCATGAGTAGTTTTGTTCTCAACTACCTGCCGCGGGCCTTTTGTTTCATGTACGTTCTCTGTACGTCCAATGCTGGAGGAATTCAGCCCGACAGGGTAAGGACAACGAACACTGGGTATTACAAACCTGATCAAAACTATAACAAAATACTCGAACGTGATTGGTTATCACCAGCCCGATTTGAGCACTAAATTTAGGAAAGTGTCCGCCTCACGCTTGTAATTGGACAGTGTAATAGGACAGTTAAAGGTACAGTTAACACGTCATGCCAATATAACTGGACAGAAGAGGGCGCCAGTTTAACTTTTGTTTTTTTATGAAAACAGATAACCGACGTCTAGTTTCTTTCTCAAATTTTGTCATGGTTTTGATTAATTACAGAAAGGTTTTCGTGTCGTCCAATTCTGTCTGTAATCATACTCGTCATTAAAAATAGCACTCCCGCTTCGCGGTCGTCAGATTTTTTAAGAACTCATATGACTACAGACCGAAATTGGACTCCACTGGGTCCATTACCATTCATAATCAGTTTAGAAGAGGTCCATTAAAAGTGGGCCTCACATCCACAGGAGAATGATATCTAAGAATGATGCCAAAGTACTGTTTCATTATTGCTTTCTGTAATTTCTTAAAAATAGAAGTTGTCCTAAATCTCAGTTTCAGCTTTGAGCACTGTTTAAAAATGTCAGAGAGATAATAGAAATGGTCTTCACCATGCTCATTTGTATGGTGAGATGCTTCTTTCCCACTTGATTATACTTATGTAGACCCAACGCTGGACCAACACATTACAGAGGTTCTATATTTTATCAACTCTTTAATATCACACATAGTCAACATCAATTTAAATTATCGAAGAGAAGATATTTAGCGTGGAATTGCACTTGTGCATTAAGGGATATTGCTGACGAGGGTCGCGAACAAAAATTGTTGCCTTCTTGAAAACAAAACTGCAACTCGTGCTACGAAAAATATCACGTTGTAAAAGAACAAATTTACAGAAAATGAATGTCTGCCAAATTTTGAATTAAAATTAAAATTTTTAGGTTGGTCACCTTTTGAAGAGCCAAAAACGAACAAACGCGTTCTTCAAAGTGAGCCAGAGTTCTTCCCTATCTTGAAATGAACTAAAAATTCTTGGATAGGCATAAAAAAACCTCTTTCGCTCGCCACAACGAGAAAGCAAGAAAATCCTGTGAACACGGCCTAGAAAATGGCAAGCAATAGTTCAACCGAGCGAGACGAAGAAGCGACAACGGAAGAAGGGCCAAGGTCGATTGTCATATATATAGTAGAAGAACTAAATACTTTTAATAGCGATGTTAAATGTTCAATGCTTTCGCTTGGATACTTCATTTCTTTCAGTTTTGCCAGCAAAGATGTAAAAGGTGTAAATCATTTTCCTTCTCGAGCAAATGATTTGGAAATTTGAAAAAAGATGTTAGAGATAAACGGCATGTAAATTCAGTGAAATACCACTATAATTCTTAAGATCGCGTGAAGCTTGTTTGAAATTTTTGAAAACAAATGTAAAAACAAGCACAAGGTACAAATAAAGTTATCAAACTTCGATAACTTTATAATAACTTGATAATAAGATTCAAACGTGTACGACTGACCTTGTTCCTATCCGCTAACACGCTGACAGTTCTGACAGTTGACTTTGAAATGGCTTTCTGGGGCGTGCGCTCAGGATAAAAAAAAACAATAGATTACTGTTTTCTTTTTTTTCTTATTTTTATTCAATCGTGCGATATCGGTTTTTAGCAGTGAATTTTTCTATAATATCCCATTAGTAATTGGCTCTATATTTGCGAGCGCAGGATAGTTGAAACATTTCGTGTCAGACCATATTTGCCACGCATAGGTGTAAGAACTAATTAACTAAGAGTTGAATATGAAGTTTGTCATGCTGTATCAATATTCTTAGGTCTTATTTGATTTTTCTTTTGTCTTTTAAGTTGGGAAAGCTACTCATGTGTGCTCAAAATCTGAGGAAAAACGCCAACTTGGATTTGTCACTTTCAGCTGCCTGTACGTTGTTTGTCTGCAACAAATGGGATTTGGTTGAGAACAATGAACGCGAAGAGGTGAAAAGGGATACGGTCGAAAAGCTTACAAGAATACTTGGTAACCTGGATCCGAAATCGCAGATTGTCTATTTGTCATGCAAAACCGCGCAGTTAGCTCAGACCTATGGGGTAGTGACAGAGGATTTCAGTAACCTAATAACAGGGATTAGTAATCTCTTAGTTTCGTCCATGAAGAATAGTCTGCAGATGAATGCTAGGTAGGTAGACTTCTGAATAATTCTAAGTTGAGGCCTTGAATATTTATATTGTATCAAATACCCAACAAAGACAAAGCTCGATTATAAAGTAGAGTTAGAATAAATATGTCATTAAGGAGACATCAATTAACTTTGTTCGTTTGTCGGACGATAGAGTCACTTATGATGGAGATGGCGACGTTTCGGCTGCAATACTGCTTGTCTTGCGAGAACATGACAGAGACATACGGTTTGCTCGTGCTCAGACCTCTCGCGGTTTCGGAGCGCGCTAACGAAACGGGGTATATTCCTATTTGGAGTTAGGTTAAGTTTATTGATCGTGACCCCACTGGTACACACGTAGGGTCAAAGAGGCTATCCGTATAATACTTCATCCCAACAACATCAATAGGGATAGCGGAATCGACCTTCCCGAAGTTTGGATACCCACGATCAAACAACACAACAGCCGATTTATGAGAACCTATAAAGGAACACCATTTAACAACTGGAATAATAATGAGGATCGAAATGCACTAATAGCAGCGTACCAACGTGCTACAAATAGCGTCACGTAAGCAATCGACCTCATCGCCTGATGGAGATTAGTAGTATTGCAGTCGAAACGTCGCGATCTACGTCGTAAGTGACTCTATCGTAAGACAAGCGAACAAAGTCCATGTCATATGCATTGGTATGGTTATTTTAATTGTCTAGCAGTTGTAATTATGACATCAAACAATTTTTTATATGCTTATTCATCAGATGGCTAGAGGATCTCCTCGATCGCATGTCTCGTCAAGTCCGCATAAAACTGAAGTCAGCAAAAATGTCTCATCAGAAAACAGAGGAAAAAATCAAGAGATTGTTAAGCCGCATGGAAGAGCTGCAGAATTCTCAGAAACGTATATTTGATGAACTTAGCGAGCATCAGTCGAAAATATTTGAAGACATCCTCAAGAAACTAGCTTTGCACTTTAATTCGGAGGGAACTTTTTCGCGTTTTTGCAACTGGTCTAAAGATGAAGTACCCAAACCCCTTGGAACATGGCAGGATACAAAGAATGAGGTGTTAAAGTACATCTCAGAGAGAACACATCAATTTGTCCAGCGATGGGAAAACGAAGAGAACGAATTCGACAGAGCTCGAGTGTCATTGATCCAACATTGTTGCAAAAAGTATGATATAATGGAGGAAGAAATGCGCGAAGTAGCGGAAGATTTTTTTTTCGTCGACGAGGCGGAGGGTGACCTTCCACAGGACGAGGGTGAAGAAAATTTGAAACGATCTAAAGTACGAGGAAGATTGAAAACGATTACTGCTCCGCCATGGCTTCGGCAAGGATTGGCACCAGTGGTGGTAGGGTCTCCACTTAGCATGCTCAGAACCAAACTTAAAAAGAAGCTCCACCACAAAACCAAACTGGAAAGGTTCCGCGATGATCCATGTGCCTACATGTCGAAGCGATCACGGAAATGTCTCAAAGTTATTTCTACTCAAGACCGCTTGCTTCCGTTCATCAACGAACAACTGGAAGACGCCGTACTGTACCTGGGACAGATCAAGAAGAAGATTCCAAAGCTGAGGGAAGGTGACGAGCTGATCTATCAACAGCTACTTGAAGACAAGAGAGGCAATACTGAGATTCGGAGGATCTACGAGCCTTTAAACGACGAGCTGGAATCTCTGAGACGGGGTTTAACTGTATACTCTCTGCGAGAGATCAGGCAGTCGGATTTTGCAAGAGAAGAGTTAGAATGCGATTTCGGAAATCCTGTCATTGGACGAGGCAGCTTCTCGATAGTGTTCAAAGGCGTTCTTCGTCGCAAAGAATCGCCAGAGATTATCGTGGCCATCAAGAAGTACATTGACCCGCTTACCAGTAAAAACGTGTGGCATTTCGTAGACGAGGAACATGCTTTAAGGTACGTGTATCAAAAGACCATTTTCTCTCATGCAGTTGTGTTCATTTCACAGTACAACTGTCGTGCGTGGTGTCCTATACCAGATTTTGCATAGTGTCTAGAGCTGGAAATGCTATAGCTTGCTACACATGCGATTGAAAAACGATTGTGTCCCTGCTGCCTATAAGTTTAATAGCAATGAGCCTCTTATCTTTGTCTTAGAAAACTACGCCATCCAAACATTGTGGGTTTCTATGGAACCAATTTGCACCACAGCCCCAAAGGTACTGAAGTGATGATCGTCCTCGAGCTTTGCAGTTGCTCTCTCAGAGATCGCGTACTTGCCCATCCCGAGGATTCACCCGCTCGATCGTCGAACGACTCAGTCAAGAAAAAGGTCTTATCCTGGGTACAACATATCCTAGAGGCCTTGCATTACATCCACTCAGAAGGATTTGTTCACCGAGATTTAAAGCTGGAAAATCTGCTGGTAAATGTGTACTGAGTGAACTTTGATTTCCCAGTTAAGGTGTCAGTTAACTGTTTTTACCGACATGTATAGGGCTATTTCCTTTCCTCAGTAAAACATAGCCTTTTTGCCCCCCCCCCCACCATTTTTTCGAAAATATTGTAGTCGTGCTCTTTACTGGTTTTTTTTTGGGGGAGAGGCAATTTTGGTTTCTAGTGGCTGGAAATGATGTCTTGGTGATGGAAATTGAGTGCTTTTCATTAAGGAAATCAGCCACCCGTTTTCCTACAATTTTGCGTGGGATCTCATGCAGAAGATTGCATGCCATGTAAACAAAATTCATTGGTCGACCTTTGTCGCGGCACCTGGTGTTCATTACCATGAAACATGATCTTGCAATCAACGAAAAAAGCACCAACGTGACATTAAGTCATTTATTGTTTCCCTGGTTCATTACGATTCTTTGTGACTGAGTTTCATATTTCATTATAGCTGACACAAGGCGAGCAAGTGAAACTTGCAGATGTAGGAGTCGCTAAACATGAAAAAGAAATAACAGGTACAACAGTCGGCACCTATCTGTACCTGGCCCCTGAAGTGTGTGAGGGTCGAATTTACAACAGCAAAGCTGACATGTATAGTTTTGGCTTCCTACTTTGGGAAATATGGTATGGTGAGACAGCTTTTCAAACGGCGATGACAACCTGCGGATTGCACCAGCTCGAAAAGGTGAGACAGGGCTGTCGACCTACTCACATCAAAGGCACAAATCATCCATATGAAATATGGCAACATGTCATGACAACTTGCTGGAATGAAAATCCACTTGCCAGGCTGACAGCAAGAAAAGCACTGGAACGTTTCAAAGAGTTACACGAGGCTAAGATTCAACCCAAACTGAAACCAGTACCGCTACCGAGGACACGTTCGCTTGGGCCATTTTCTCCTCCAGCATCGCCTACGCCAGCTAGAAGACCAAATAAGAAAGGTGGAGCGTCTGTTTCTTACCGAAAAAAAGCAGAGGCGGAGAGCGTTCACTTTGAATTAAAAGAAAAGAAGTAACGTGGAGCGGACTGAAAAGAACAATCGCTTTATATCTTAGTATTCGTTCGACTGTAATTAATTTAGGAGGAGGAGGTCACTGAAATTGGAGATGTAACCAAATTTTACTCAAAGCTCCTAATGAGCTCCAGTGCATACTAATCATTTTTTTAATAGCAGTTCGTGGACGGCGTGGATTACAAATAGTTCTCAAAGGTATATGTTATTTCTAACTCGGCAACTGTCTCTTTGAATCAATTGAGGAGAAGCTATACAAATTTTTTTACTCCACTATGACGTCATTTTTCCTTTTTAGGGCATCGGAACGTGTAATATGTCAATAGATTACTCTGTAAATCAGGGTCAAAAATACGGTCAGAGAGCGGAGCAAAAAAGTGGCTTCAGCAAACGATCCAAACTTCGATTTTTTCCTCCGTGGTTTTAGGCTTTTCTTCTTGGGAAAATAACTTTTTAGCGCAGTAGATGTTATATGACTGTGAATCTATTAAACTAATAAGGTACCTGCAAACTATGTGAACTATATGAACTGTGAAATGCAAAGATCGCTTTCATGTTTACAGATGTTATTGTTGGTCATGGTTTCGTTTGTGTCGTTTCCATCTTTCACTCATGCCTTCGGGGCTCGGAAAAAATACAACGCAACTCACAAAATATCCGCACGGAAGCATATTTTTAATGATAAAATAAGGTGTATTATCCCAAAGTAAATCAAGTTAGTCTAACTTGCCATCATGGATCAGTGCAACGTCTTTGACTGTACAAAGAATGAATTACAAACGTATTATATCTAAGAATTAGTCCGTATACTTCAATACGACTGAAATTCAGTGCTGTTAGGGCGAAAGGGCGTCAAAGCCGATGCAGCAAGGAACCCCTGTAACTAGATTTCGTAAGGAGTCTTGAAATAAAGTTCACAATTCAATGTATCTACTAAAACCTCGGTCTTTAATTTTAGTCACTCGGCTAGGAACAAGAGTATTGAGAGACGAACTCGCTATTTTAAAGAAGCTTTGTTGGTTTGAAGCAGGATTAACTTGTATTATTGAGCGACGTTCACGCTCCAACTTTATCATCACATTAAGCAGCTAGAGCGAACAATAAGTTGCTGAAATCCGGTAGTAAAACTCTAAAACTAACAATGATGATTTATGTTCATCCGAACAGAAAAATCTCTTCTTCCTCCTGCATCCTGCATTGTCAATGATTTCCTATTACTCATGAAGTGATTCAGTTTCTGCTTTAGGAGCAGTCACGGGCGCGGTAAGGGTTTCAAAACTACCTACACATATTGAGTCGACAAAACAGAACGCGTTGAAGTACTCTAAGTTTCCTCATAACTATACTTGATATGAGGTTATGGTTAAAAAAGTAAACCTTACAGAAACATCGCTTCCTGCATCATCAGTATTTTAAAAGAGGCGATAATTGTGATAAGGGTGCTGCCTCTTAAGGGTCTAATTTCTGAGATTATAGTCCGGTCGCAAACATCGCTGAGTATAAATGTTCTTGGTGTGGAAGAGAGGGAGAATTTCGCTAGTGACTGTTAATTACTATCTAAACTCGTTGAGTTGGGAAACGAAAATATAAGAACAATAATTAGGGCTTGAGAGCGGAAGTCATTTTATCGTTTTCAAGAACTTAAGCGAAAATATCGCACTGATTGATGACATATGACTATTAAAACCGAAATACTGCGTTAATGTGCCCTTCGCTGGTGCTTGCCTCACTTCCCTGGTCTTCCAGCAACAGTAGAGGAGCGGGTTCAAACCAGAATTTTACTACCTAAGAGATGCTGTATGTTTCAATCGAGAATACAAGAAAAGCTATTAAGAGTAAAGAGAAGCAAAAGGCCTCCATACGGCATCCGGAAGAAAACAAGCTACTGGAGACACTTGGACCCATAATGCAGTGGTGAGCGTCTTTCGGTATCTAGATCTGTTTACGGGAATTCCACGTAAGGAAGGATAAATATTTTCATGTAACTGTGAAGTTAAGATATTATGCAAAAAATTTTTATTAAAAGATATTATTGCTAAATCATTTCGATTACAGAGAATGCTACGCATCCAAACCAAGTAGAAAATTTAGATAAGGGGGGAGACGTCTTTCGTGTGCTAGCCTCTTCCTACGTGATCTACAACAGAACAGAGCACAATAGAGGCTTCTCTATTTGTAAATAGGAAAATTTATGTTTTGGCGTAAAGTTCTTATGAGTATCTTTTTGAAATAACGATCGCGAAAAGTTAACTATAACGTCGCCCTAGGCATCTGAGGTAACCCTTCGTTTCGCTTAAGAGTCTTAATAGAAGTCGATGAAGTTCTGTCGAAGGAATCATTAAATGTTTTTTAATGCGTTGGCGAAATGACCAATGGGACGTTAACGAAACGACTTAAGACGCCGGTTACTGATCATGAACTGGTCACTAGCGAAACGAATTATAGGCGAAACGACCACAAACTGCATCAAGTGCTAACGTTTCTGACTTTGTTAGGTAGGCCGTCTTCTCTGCCACTGAGTCAGTGGCAAAGAAGACGGAAATATGTTACTTTTGGTTCAGTAGACGACAACAGACATAGACAACTATGCACTACGATAGTTTTGCGAAGGATACGTTTTTAGCTTATAGACTTCACCAGAGAAGTAGAAACAGTTCACCATCACGATTAGAAAAAAAATCTAATCGCATTGCCTCGTTGCTGCCCAGAGTCAAGTTTGATATCACAGTCTAATGACTGCCGCATAATTTTTCTTGATTTCCATGTAACATTTCTTAGCTGAAGGGCGTTCGTTTGGGGCTTGACTCCAACACTGGGTCATTAGATTTTTCCAGGGAAGCGGAGGTTTCCTATAATTGCTGCTTTCGACTTCTGGACGGTAACCGTCATCAGCTATCTTCTTTGAGATGTCTTTTAGTGCTAGCCCCTTTAGTCCGGCGAAGGCCTGTCTTCCATACCACATCTCCCACAAAATTATTCCAAGATTGTATATGTCTGCTTGGAAGCTATATCTCTTTGATTGAAACACCTCAGGTGCCATATAAAGAACTGTTCCAGCCCATGATCCTGTGATATCCTTTGCCTCTTTGGACTCCCCAACATCGGCAATCCTTACTGAGTTGTCTGCTGATAGCTTTAATTGAAAAGAAAACATTGTATGAACATCGCGATGCTTTTAAGAACACATTACGAGGTGGGCAGTTAAATGCAAAGCATATTTACGGCAGTGTCACGGGAACTCATTGCACTCTGCAAAAAACTTATTTTACCGAAAATTTCTGTGAATTTTGAGTGCTGCTGTAGGAAAAGTAATATTTCGTCAGGAAAATTTAACAAATAATTCACGAGATCGAGATTTCCGTTGCGGCAGTTGATTGTTAAGTCTCAGGGTTGCCTTAACAAAAATCATCAATCTTTTTTAACTATTCTCTCATACCAAGATATTCTCCAATGTGAGATCTCGATGGAGAACCCCCTCCTTATGTATGAACGCGAGTGCATCCGATATCTCTCTTGCCCATCGTTTCACTGTTTTAATACTTGCAATATCTTTTGTTTCTGCAGGAACAAAGGCTCGATTATTGAAGATGTGGGTCCTCAAGTTTTCCTTGCACTTTTCCAACACCATTACTGCTCTTTCCTCACCATCTCTTTTGAGGAGAGATGTACCATAGAACTTCACAATGTGAGGATGATCCAACCTCCTGAGAAAGAAATCAACTACACACAGTCAAGCATTACTTAGTCAAATTTTTGTCTCAGTATAAACGCAGTACAGGAATGATCGAATAAAGAAAAATGAATGAAAAAAAAAGTGAAGTTATAGTTAACTATATTTCTTTTCACAAAAAAAACTACCAAATCCTTTTAAATGTTAATGTTTTGCTTTTGTAACAAAACACAATCTTCCTTTTTCTGATAGCCCACCGCTGACCTTGTGAATTAGGTGTATTCCTGGCCACGCAAAATTAATTCACTGTTAGATTTACATATAGTTTTGAAACTCGTTTTGCGCAGGTTTTTAGCAGTTCCAAGGAGACTTAAAATAATATGCAATTCCGCAATAAAATTGAAGGTGAGAAAAATTCGTACCTTAGAAGACTCAAGGGATTCGTTCCAAATTTTTAATGCAACGCTTTGCTCCTCACCATGCCTCTTCATTTTCCCTTCGATCACCGTTGCGAACTCTCCTTGACCAAGAAGAAGAGACATGTCTGCTTTCCACTCAAGCTCCAGGCTGCTGATGTCAGCGGTACGGATTTCTCTCAGGCCATATAACGCTAGCTGTCCTCTGATTTCCAATGCTCGATTCAGGACAGGCTGGTATGACTCCTGTATCTCTTTGTGTGACCGCGTTTCATGCCTGAGTTGATTATACAACATCTTGTCAGCATGTATTAGCTCTGGAATACGGGCCTCAATATGCTTTAGACACAATTTTGCCTCGCTTAGTTGGCTCTTTACGAACACCTTGAGAATGGACTCATTTGTGGCATTGTTGAGGTAGTCTACTGACCTCTCAGCCATGAGAGAGCATCTGTCTTTTTCGTACCTCCTAAGTCTCCTTGAATCTTCAATTTTGTTTTTGATCGAGATTATGCCGACTATTGGGCTGCCAATTACCAAAGCAATTAGAGTGAGTGGAACCCAGATTGGGCTGGTAAAACCGATAGCAAACTTTACTGCCATAGAAAAGTTTTCAGCAGAGGGATCAGCTTCTGAAACACTAATTGGGTCATCAGTCGTGACACTATCTTGCAGATTCCGGATTTGCCCCTCGACAAAATCGTACTGCTGCTGAAAATAATACAGGAGGGAATCTCGAGCATCGGCAAATACTCGTTCATCTTCCTCCCAATGTTCTATGATTTCCTTCAACCTTGTTTGCAATGCTTTATTGATATTGTTTTCTGTGACCTGCCACGAGACCTCTATTTCAGGAACCTCATCCAAGTTCCAGGAGATGAAACGTGTTTTGACCTCATCTGACTTGAGAAATATGGAAAGCTTTTGAACTGCCTCGTCGATTTTAGCTTTCAGGTGTTTTCGAAGGTCTTCCACCACTTTTCCTTGTTCGCTTTCAATAGCTGACAGACGGTTATTGATTCTTTCCATTTTCTTGGCGACCTTGTCACGATCTCTTTTGGCATTCATGACAAAGGCCTTTGCTTGATAAACTATTCGTGAAAGGAGGTAATCAAGCCATCTAAAATATAAATAGATATATTCAATAACTGATATGGTTTTTACCTCAAAAATCATTACCTTTCCACGATTCTTGGCTCGTTCTTACCAGTGGTATGGAACCAGGGATAAAGACTAGACGTTTGCTTCCTTTCTTCAGAACGGAAAAGGACAAAAGGGATGGATTAAAGTATGCTAAATGCATGCCCTATTGACATTATTATCCCCGAAAGTCGTTTCTAAAAAGATAACAAGAAAGGGAGAGAAAGAAAGAGAGAGGAAGGAAAGATCTAGCAAACAAATAAAGCAAAACAACAGAGCCCTCTCAGATTCAAATGACAATAAAGAGGTTAATTTACGCTGTAGAGTTTGATGGAAGCTCCTGAAATAGATGTGGGCATAGCTTATGATTTCTTGCTAAAATAATTTAGTACTCAGTTTCTTTAATTTTTCGGTCATGACTATTCTGCAGCATTTATGAAAGTGTCTTGTGTTTTAAATCAAAGTAAAAAATAACTCCCATATACAAATTGTTCAACCTGGTGGCTGGTGTAGAATTTAAACTACTTTTAATCACTTAACTGTAAAAGCCATAACAGCACTCGATGAATTACCTATTAGGCAATTCTCGCTCCAAATTTAGATAGGCTTTTTGTCCTCATTTTTACTTAACACCCAGTGAGCAACCATTGCAAATGTTTCATTGTTCCAACCTCACTTTATTCACAAGCACGCCAAGAGAAAAGTTCAGTGGGAAAATCGAGATAAAAAATCGTTCATATCTAATGACCCGTGTATCCCATACCAAGACCAGATTTTAAAACGCCTCTCCTTCAACGCGCTACAAAACCCCAGTATGAAGGATACAGGCTTATCGAAAATTGGGAAAGGTTTAGTCGATGGGTAAATTTATGGTGATGATGAGTTCTGAAGTGTCTTAGGGAATGAGTTAGGGCATTTATCACAATCATTTCACCCGACGATAACGTTTTCAGTCAATTCTTACCTCCAATAACTTTCCAGTCTGGCCTCTATGCTCTTCATGACCGTGGATCTTATACCATTCATCAAGGAGAGGAAGTCATTTGTGATGATTCCCAATTTCTGGGCGTCAATCGCCTTTTTTGCTGACATATAGATGATCTGTGACTCTGGAACAAGACCGGGCCAACACTTTTCCAATTTTCTGATCACGTATTTCTTTACCTCTTCGATTTCTTTCTGTGGTATTTGGTCCCACTTGTTACACACGAACAGGGCGCTCTTCGATGAAAATTCTCCCTTTTCATTAAGAGTCACTTTTCTCACTTCTTCCAGCAACTTTTCGAGCTGTAAAATAAATAAAAGTTTAATCTTATTCAGTATCATTGTAATGGTTTGAAATCTTCTAAAGGACAATAGGTCAAACGCTGACGTATCAAAGCCCCTTTAACGGGGCTCCTCACGGCTTATTAAATTGTTGTCATTTGGAAATGGTGGTTATTCCTAACACTGACCCTGTCTTTCTGGACTCCTCCGGCGTTGTCAGTTTTGATGACATAAATAAATGCGAAAGCTTCAGGTAGATACTTCACGACCTCTTCATCCATGAGTTCGGATTCTCCAATTCCAGGACTGTCAACAATAACAACGCCTTTCTGAAACGAAAAAAAATCAAATGGAGGTTTTATTGTTATTATTATCATTATTATTTTAAACTCTTTGACCAATATAGCGTGTCATCCAATCTGGTTATGAAAAAATACAACCCCGTCTTTAAAAAGGGATGCCCTCATAATGTATAATTTCCGAGAAAGTTAATACTCTTTTCATATTAACTGGAGTATCCTCAGTTTGACCATCAACTAACCTTACTCGAGGTATATAATTTCTTAGTTTTGATTGATGGAAAATTCTATAATTCAATCCTCAGGAAAAGGATTTTTTCCCTTGGGTTAAAACAGTCGATGGGCAAGGACACATGCTTTTCAAAATTTAGCACTGAATTTATCTGTTGTGAGCTATGAGCCATGTTCTAAGCATTTGTTGTGACATTATTTGTCCATTATGCATAACAAATGATTTTAGTCCCACACCATTTTAGATACTATAATTGTGTTTGCCGTTTTGACTGACCTTATGATCCTAATCTTATCCATCTAAACTAAATAGAAGTATAGATTGAAAAAAATCATTCCATTTCTTAGTTAATTGGCAAAGTTTGAATGAACACTGTGTAGCTACCTGCAAGAGTTGATGAGTTTTTCGGGTTTTGTTTAAATCAGTCGATGGGTAAGGACGCATGTTTTTCAAAACTTAGCACTGTATTTATCTATTATGAGGCATGAGCCAGGCATTTGATGTGATACTATTTGTCCATCAAGTATAACAAATTGTTTTAGTCTAAAATTCTGTTTGCCCTTTTCAATGACCTTCTGATCCTAATCTTGTCCATCTAAGCTAAAAAATAGGAATCGAAAATATTTATTCCACCTCTTAGGAAGGAACACTGTGTAGCTACCTGCAGGAGTTGATGA